TAGGGCTAACAACTCTGTGAAACTTTTATCTGACCATCCATTACCCGCCTTTAAGTTGTACAACTTTAATACCACAGACAATCTTATGAAAGTAGTGCAACCTTTATACAACGGTTTCTCTGCATCGCTTACCAATCTCTCAAACATCTTGGGACAATCCTGAAGATCTTCTTCAAGTGCTTCTGCAATCTCTTCGACTCGATCACAATCATATGTATCCCTGCCATTGTCCTTTGAAGCATAGGTCGTATTATCTCCGAGTTCGACATTCTCGTTACTTATCTCACCATGTAATGTCCAACATGCATAACTTCGATTAATTCCATGTCTCATTAAATGAGATTCCAACTGAACGTCGTCAATCCGACGCCCATAACATCAACCTAAGCAAGGACATGTGATCCTACTGGGGTCTTTGACGTGTTCAACAACAAACTTAACGAATTTCGGTACCCCATTCTCGTACTCTTTTGACAATCGATTAGAAGACATCCATTTTTTATCCATACTAATTAAGTAGGCTAAACTAAACTAAGAAAGTTAAACAAAAACAACGAATACCTGTAAAGAAATCACCAACTTCTAAGAAATCTACACAGTAGGATTCTTGTAAACGATCACAGCCTTGCTCTTCACAGGTAACCCCTATAACAGACAAAATTAATAACATCATCAACATTAAATATTAGTACAATTTAAGAAGTTTTAATTATATGGGTCAAATGGACTACTCATATACGAACTGCTTGACATAAATATTAGTAGAATTTAAGAATTTTTAATTATATGGGTCAAACAGACTACTCATATTTCATACGAACTAACTCTAATAGATAGCTGATATTTTAAAGTTAGACTAAAACTCTTATAAAGTCGAACTCTAATTTTAAAACTCAAATAATGTATTTTATCGAGTTTTTTGAGTTTGTACATATGAATTATTCTATTTTAGCATATCCAAACTTATATTTAGATTTATGTTGGCCAACCCGTATGATCTAACCATTTTGATAGGTATAGAGTTTACTTATATTTATATTCATGTTGGCTACTCTCTTAAAAAATAGGAATTTCCAAACTATGAAAAAAATATGCTCTATCAAGTTACATTAATATTTTTTAATTAATTATATGACGTGGGTGGATGATGAATTTTATTAAATCATAATTTAAACCTATTTTTCACATGTGAATTCACTACCTTTAATCTCCCAAACTATTGTTATTTGAATTCCAAACTAAAAATTATATTGAATGTGTTATATAGATAAGTTAAAAACAAACCTAACTATTCCATTTCTCTCATTTTTCCCTTCCTTTTTTGATTCTATTCATTCTCCATTTGTACAACTTTTACACACTAACTTCACTTTCCTCGCAGAATTTGTGTAATTGCTGCAATCTCTCACTATCGACTAACCTTTAATCTCTCAGTATCGTAATACCGTCTAATTGCAAAAACTAACTGCAATAGTTCTAACAGTGTTACAATTCAAAAACTAACTTCTTCATGAAATCCTTAACACTAACTTTACAACCAATAAACAATCAGTTTCAATCCAAAGTTCAAAAATACCACCACATTCACTAACTTTACAACCAATAAACTAACAATCAGTTTCAATCCAAAGTTTAAATCTATTAGTTCAGAAAAATGAAAAACTAAGACAATAATCGAGAAAAATGAAAAACTTCAAATACCGTAAAAATGGAGGAAATGCGCTACAGAATGAACGGACGGAGGTTGTCGAAAACGGACGGACAAACGGGGTGAAATGAAATGCAGACGGAATGAACGGAGGAGGGCGACGGACGGCGGCTGTCGGATGGAGGGAATGGACGGAATCGGTCGTGGTGAATAGGGCAACGTTCGCCAGAGGAGAAAGAAGGAAAGAAGGATACATGTACGACTGTTCTGTTTCTTTAAAAATTCTGGTGGATATTTTTAAATTTATTCTACTTATACCTATAGCAGCGCTTTTGCATGGCCTTTAGCAGCGCTTTTACAAAGCACTCTCTAAGGTCTGCCTTAGGCATGACCTATAGCAGCACTTTTTAAAGCGCTTTCTTTTATACCCCCTATAGCAGTGCTTATGTAAAAAGCGCTTTCTTAGACCCCCCCCTTTAGCAGCGCTTTTGTAAAGTGCTCTCGTATGTTACACCTACAACAGCGCTTTACAAAAGTGCTTTCTTAGGGCATACATTTAACAGCGCTTTTTATAAAGTGCTTTCTTAGGGCCCCCTTTAGCAGCGCTTTTCAAAAAGCGTTGTCTAAGGTATGCTATTTTTTTTCTTTTTTTTTCATGACTCTTTAGCAGCGCTTTTTCATAAATCGCTGTCTTTTTATGCGCTTCCAAATGTCATTTCTGGCGTAGTGGCTAGTTGGAGATTTCTGGATTATAAGCTTATTAGATTCGACTTCAATGATAAATGGAGGTCTTGGATCAAAACTTGCATGCTCCCTAGTAACTTGGTTGTGCTAATAATGGTTCCCTAACGTAAGATATTAAGAATCAAAGAAGTTTGAAACAAGGTGACCTTCTAGCTTCTTTCCTCTTTCTCCTTCTAGAAGAAAGTCTTAGCGGTTTAGTTAAGAATTAATTTGAGTTATCTCTCCTTTATATGTTTAAAGTTGATACCTCAAATTTGGTAATCTTCCATCTTCACTATGTTTATGATACCCTATTCTTGGCAGACCCTTTAGTGGAGAAATTATGGATCATTAAAGCTATCTTAAGGAGTTTTGAACTTCTTTTAGGCATTTGGGTTAATTTTTCGTAAAAGTAGTGATGACAATTTGACATATCTCCAATGGGCACCCGCAAAATTACCCATAATGGGTAGGGTAAAAACCTGCAAAAATGAGTACGGGTATGAGCTTGGGTAATTACCTACAAAAATGAGTTTGGGTTCAGATTTTATTTTAAATATCAGGTACGAAAATGGATACAATAGTATCTTTCTCAAACCCTACCCATTGTCATCCCTCATTAAAAGTAGCTTTATAAGGAATAATGTTGACTTCTCTTTCTTTGATGTTGCTAAGAGTTTCCTTAATTCTAAGATTGAGTTCCTCCAATTTAAATATCTAGAGTTTTTAGTTGGATCCAACCCTCAATTGGAATCTACTTGGGAACAATTAGTTAATCTGGTGCAGAAAGTAATTCTTTCTTGAAATCAAAGGTATGTTAGACTAGGGGGAGACTTACTCTTCTTAACCCAGTTCTAAATGATCTTCTCACTTTCTTCCTCTCTTACTTAAAGATGCCCCTCATTGTTTAGAAGAAGTTAGTCAAGATTCAAAGGAGATTCTCTTAGGGTTGTATTAAGGTGAGGCCATGGTTTCCGTGGTGAAATAGTGTGATGTCTCCAAATCTGAAAAGAATAGGTGTTTGGGTGTGCTAGATTTTCAACCGCCTAATGTAGCTCTTTTATCCAAATGGAGATGAAGGATCTTGTCAAAGTACTTATGTATTTTGTTTGACATATTTTCTCTCAGATATAGTAATTCTTTGTTCTCCCCCTTGTGTGAAGGTAGGGATTTCGGCCTTCACTCAGTGTCCTCATGGTGGTGAGGAATCTTCCTCATTGGAACATTGATCCTCTTAATTGGTTTGAGAGTGTGTCGGTTAAGAGGGTTGGATATTGTATCCTCACCTCTTTTTGGAAGGATCATTTGATTGAGGGTATACCATTGAAGGTTAGGTTCCCGTGACTTTTTTCTATCCCCCAGGCTCACGAAGGTAAGGTGAGTAAGTTAGAGAAATGAGATTATGGGAGGATCATTTTGGATTTTAGGTGGAGAACCCTCGATCTCTAAGTTTTTCTTTACCCTCATCCAGTTCTAATTTTTTGAGGAGATAGATAGGTGGACTTCGAAGCATAATAGAAAAGGTACTTTTTCAGTGGCATCTTCCAACTTAGTTCTAGTAGAGCTTAAATTCCTATATGAATTCATCCTTGTGAGGGATATTCGAACGCTTCTCTATATTTGGAATAGTGGACTACTTCTAAGAATGGGGTTTTCTTTTAAAAACTCTTGCATGATAGGTTCCTCCCTAGAGAAAATATGTTCAAGTGTAAGGTTATTGGGGATTGTCTAGAGTCTGTCACTTATTTGTTTATTATCTATAACTTAGCTTCTATTAAGTGGTATAAAATATTTAAGTGGTAGGGTTTTCAGGTGATAATTCTTGGAGACCCTAGGATTATTTTTGAAATATTTATATCTTGAAGTTATAAGATTAAGAGTATGATAGATTTTTCTATGATTTGACATGTTGTGGTTTAGACTATTTGGTTAGTTCACAATAATACGTTATTTTATAGTTCGTCAACGAAGATTAAAGAGTTGAAAGAGAAGAGTATTTTTTTTCCATGAAATTGAATTTTAAACGGTATTTTTTTGTTGCTAGAGGTTCACTCCTCTCCTATTGGTTGGTTTGGTCATCTGAGTTCAAGTGGGGTTACCTAATGATAATGATTGGTGTTTTGGTAAGTGGGTACTCTTTTTGGAGCTTTCTCTTTGGAGGGCTGCTCCCTAGCTGTGGTTTTTGCATTATTATTTTTTCTCTCATATGGTACTTTCTGTGCCTTTTGTTTTTTCTTCCTTGTTGTAGGGTTTATTTCCACCTTATATATATATATATATATATATATATATATATATATATATATATATATATATATATATATATATATATATATATATATATATATATATATATATATATATATATATATATATATATATATATATATATATATATATATATATATATATATATATATATATATATATATATATATATATATATATATATATATATATAAAAGCTCATTTTCAATAAATATGAACACTTTGATCGTTATGAATATATCACCACATCATTAATGTAATTGACATAATTCTGTTACATTATAAATAATATTGTAAATATCATCTTTTCAAGCAATACAAGGGTATCATGTGAAAATCATAATACAAGCAAATGAATAACTTAATATGGCAATTGACCAACAATGTTACCAGGTGGATCATAATTGCAAGTAATGAATGTTCCTCCATTATCACATTTCACTTTGCCACACCCAACACGTTTTGAATGTTTCCAAACCACCTGAGTATAATGAAGACACTCACCACCAACGCATGAGTTACTATTATAATCATAGTTTGATTTCTCATCGACCCATAGTTTCACTGCCTCTACACCAGTCATGTTGCCCTTGCTCACCGCAATATTCTCTCCAGGATACTCGCCGTAACGACCACCACTACCGGACGGGATCAATTTACAATCCTTCCGTCGATTAGCATAATTTTGTGCGAAAACAGCAATATTGTTGTCCCAGACAATATTTGGAATTCGAACATTGGTATCGATTATCGATCTTGCTGCGTTGTGGGCGTTAACGTAATCTGCAGGTGAGTCTTGGGCATGTGCAATAAGACTATCAAAAATGAATGTTAAGGCCAAGACACAAAATAGAGAAAATGCACCCATTTTAGAAGCTAGGTGTTTGATGAAAAATGTTAGGGCTCTTGTCATGAATTTATATGGTATTTATGAAGGTTATTCTTTTGGTCAAAAAAGGAAAAAGAGATAAAATTATTGCTTTCTTGGTTGAAAAGGTTTGGCTAACTTGTGTATTTTGTTTATTTAGGTGTTTTCCTTGTGACAATAATGTTACATATGGTGAAGAATGTTACCAACAAATACACAGGTTGGATTTAAGTTACAGATAATTAAAAAAATTAATTTAAACATAAAACAGTTTAAGATATTTTCTAAAATTTTTTAATAAAGTAGACGTTATTTGTGTTTGCGTATAGTAATAAAAAATATCATTTTGAAAATTTACTAATTAAAAACTAATTTTATTTGATTTAATTTTCAGATTTTTTTCTTCAAATTCTTTTAATAGCAGTAACCTATTACTGTAAACTTTAAAAAGTGATTTTGTAGGAAATAAGATTTTTCAAAAAATTCTAACAAACAAACCTTTGATTTTAACTTGTTAATATAACTTTTTTTTTGTAATTTTATTCTAACTTGAGAGAAAATTTGATGTTTTTGTCACTAGTTAACTTTTAGCCTGAAATTAATTGTTTCTTTCACTTTTTATGTGAATGTATCCATACCAACCCAACCGAGGGCTGCTAGTTGTTTGATTGGCTTCTTATTTAAGATGGCAGGTGACACTTGTGAGAGAATTTTTCTTGCCACCCCGCACTTTAATAGGACATCATTCAATTTTCATTAATACACATTATTTTGGATCAAATTTTAGCAAAAATATGATAGAACAAATGAAGTATCAAATATAAATCAAAAAATTCGGAAGTGTATGTTAAAAGTCTAGCATTCATTTATACACGCTTTTAAAAAAAAAAAAGCTTAATTGTAATTATGGTCCCTCTATTTTGTATTTTTTTGAGTTTTGATCCCCCATTTTAAAAATCAGTATTTTAGTCTCTTTTTTAAGTTTTGAGTTTGATTTTAGTCCACTCACTAATTTGAGACGTTTTTTTAATGATGTGGCGCTATCTAAGATGACGTGGCAATGCAAGTTATTTTAAAATTAATTTGAGACTTTAATTATTAATTAGAATAATTAATTTATTAATATTATTTTTATTAATAAATAAATAAATTATTATATAAAAAATCTTGGGCCTAACCTTTTAGGTTAATGTCTTTTTTCCATTTTTTTAACACACAATTAATTTATTGTGTTTGTGTAAGATATATAAACACTAGCAACATTTATAATGAAAACAATGTGGGACTCACAATTAGAATTTTCTCCAACTGATTTATTGCTCTACGGTGTAATGGTTTAATTACACACTTCATGCTATGTACATACTTTCTTGTAGGGAAGGAACTCAAAAGAATCATTTAATGTAGTTCTTCTTATTGGACCTGCATATAGAGAAAGATAGCAAGCAAATACATGTGTGACACTCCTTCTCTTAATTTCGTATAGCATTTAATAGTCAATATAAAATACAAACAAGGTGTAATTTTATGAACTTCCATTGTAAAATGATTTGCAAAGCGAGCTTTCAAATGTAGCAACAGCACTTGTATTTTTACTGTTCTGTATATACATTTACAGATTTACTCTAATTTTCAGTGCAAAAGATGAAATTTAGTATCATATAATCTTACTGTGAAATTTTGTCCGTAGTGTTTTGTTCCTTATGATGAAGAAATAAAATTACATTTATTTATTTTGAATCAACTTTAGTTTAGAGGCCAGTTTTTTGGATATAAATATTTCCTTTAACTAATCTCTCATCCTGCATTTTTGTGAGCATAAATAATCGGATGCATCCGATAAGTTATCAAAAACAATTACTATAGCTCTATGTACAAAATCATAATTTCTTAACCCATGTTAAGTATATGTTGTAAATATAACAAAAATAATTATTATAGCTCTCTGTACAAGTACAATGCAGAGCATAATACACTAATAAATTTTCTGTTATTTTGTATGTATTTCATATTGACAATTAAATGCTATAAGAGAAGGAGTGTCACTCATGTATTTATTGCTTGCTATCTTTCTTTTTAAAATGCAAATAACTTCTTTCTCTTTTATATAATTTATTCCTTAGATGCATGTCCAACAAGAAGAACTACATTAAATGATTTTTTTGAGTTTCTTCCCTATAAGCAGGAAGTGTGTAATTGAACTATTACACAGTAGAGCAAGAAATCAGTTAGAGAAAATTCTAATTGTGAGTTCCACATTGTTTTTATTAAAAATGTTGTTAGTGTTTATATATCTTACATAAACACAACAAATTAGTTGTGTGTTAAAGAAATGGATCAAAGACATGGAATTAAAAGGTTAGGCCCAAATGTTTAATATAAATTTTTGATTAATTAATTAAATATAAAAATTAATAATAAAAAATTAATAATTTATTTATTTATTAATAAAAATAATATTAATAGATTAATTATCCTAATTAATAATTAAAGTCTCAAATTGAGTACCGTCACATCATTAAAAAATGTCTCAAATTAGACTGGAGACTAAAATCAAACTCAAAACTTAAAAAAGGGACCAAAATGGTATTTTTTTTAAATGGAGGGATCAAAACTAAAAAAAATACAAAATAGGGGGACCATAGTTGCAATTAAGCCAAAAAAAAAATTGGTATGTCAAAAAACACCATATTGTCCTTTTTTTTATTTTTTTCAAAATCTTGAAATATTTGGTAGTGTAAAATAATCAATTTTTAAAAAAACTTCATGTGTTTATTGGACTTTAAGAGGACTGAAAAAAATCAGGTAGTGTAATTTTTAACTATGGAGATTTTACTGACAGTTTTATATGGTTGTGATTACACCGATAGTTGTGTGTGATTCATGATAAATTCGGACATGTATAAATACGGATCATGTGTTGTTAAACAGAACATCTTAAAATGTCTTAATATTCGTTAATGGTATGTGCATACTTCAATGAGGTGAAACTTCTTTTTGATTTTGGACTACCGGAGGACACCACATGTCTCGCTCTTCTTTGATGCAAATTGAATAATGTGTTGCTCGACACTAAGAATAGAAAGGTGAGTAAGATAGGACTTCGTGCACCATAGAATGATACTGAAGGAAATGTGAAATACAATCATATTGAGTTGAAGACTAATGAATATTTGAAAGTTATGTGGAGAACATATCATTGCCGGCTAACAAAGGGACCAATCGGGTTTGATGCGACAATTTCTAGATCAATCGACGACCTAATCAACATGTTAAAACGTCTAGAATCATCTGGTAGTGTCTTGATTTTTGTTATTTATTATTGTTAAGTTATGTATTTATTTGTCTTAAGTTAAGTTAATTGTAATGTGTTAGATTATGTTAATCTTGCAATAATTAAAGCGACGAAACCTTATCTAATAAACTGTAAGGTACAAATGTCTGAGTAATAATACACATAATATAAAAATATTAATAATGTCTACATATGTTCCCCACAAGCTATGTGTGTTGCATGCGATGCCAAAATACAAACCCTGTCATATGAATTTATCAAACCCAAGAGGTTATTCATAACTGTTAGTTCCTGATTGGCAGACATTTTGATAAAACTAGGTGTAATCACAAGATGTCCAACAGGATGTCGTGACATCTGTCTTTAAGGTTCTGCAGGTTGCTTTATATGTTGTAGCAGGACTTATCCCATGATGTCAAGCATGATGTCCTGACACTTATGGACAAAACATTTTGTATGAATGTGTTTGTGTGTCTATTCCTTTGTGCAAACTTGTTGCACTGATCTGGTGTAAATCTGCGAGGATTTTGGTGTTATACAAAGGCGTTTCTGTTTCACATATTGTGGATAGTATTTGATTTCATATGGAGTTATTCTCAGAAGATTATATTGAAGATTTGAAGAATGATTTGATTGGATCTGATTGATCAAATCAAATCTGGTTCATTGATGCAAATTATGAAGATTGATGTCTTCAATATGCTGTTACTTTTGCCACAACCCAAGCCCGTGCTATTTAAGGATGTGCAAACCCTAGCTTTGAAGATCAGAGAAGCTAGGATTAAAAAGTGTGTGCATTTGTGTAAGGTTTAGCCTTCGTGTGTTTTAGTTTTGTGAGTCATTCACTCATTGTTTTAATGTGTAAATTGAACTAAGTTCTGAATTGTAATTTGTTCACTCAAAGCTTGTAAGCAAGAGTGTATTGTACTTGATTGAAGCTTTTAAGCAAGATCAAGTTGTGACTTTGAAGAGTGTCTTCTAAAGTCACCTTATTTGTTATCATTATCACTGCTGTGATTGAAGGGGAGTGAGAGGTGTCTCTTATCTAGGTGTGTCCTAGGTAGAAATTGCAAGGGTAGAGATTAGGTGAGAAGATGGTAAACTAGAGAGAGTCTACTGTATATCTTCAAACTAATTCTACTTAGTGGATTTCCTTCCTGGCTTGGTAGCCCCCAGACATATGTGTGTTTTCACCGAACTGGGTTAACAATTATTGTGTCTCTTTACAATTGTTATTTGTTTATCTTTGTTCTTATTATTGATTTAACAGATATTTGTGTCGTAAACATCGCCTTTGACATCTAATATCTGATAACAGGATTTCAATTGGTATCAGAGCAGGCATCCTGCTCTGGTTCTGGGTGAGATCTAGGGATAATACTTTCTGGTACCATGGACAAAGAAGGAGGATTTGTGAACAGACCACCTATTTTGGACGGGAGTAATTATGACTATTGGAAACATAGGATGGTTGTTTTCTTAAAATCTCTGGACAGTAAGGCATGGAAACCAGTCATAAAGGGATGGGAACATCCTGTGATTATTGATAAAGATGGAAAAGCTACATCTGAATTAAAGCCAGAGGAAGAATGGACAAAGGAAGAAGATGAACTGGCTCTGGGAAACTCTAAGGCCTTGAATGCTTTGTTCAATGGAATTGATAGGAACATATTCAGGTTGGTGAACAACTGTGAAATTGCTAAAG